ATCAAGCCTCTTAAATGAGCTATTAAATGAGAATATAAAGACAGAAGATATAATTGGAATATAGATTATACATATTTAACTTATCCATATTTAACTAGAGGTAGGTCCCATCAAACCACAGACTTATGTCTGAATAGATATGCTGTTGATAGTGTTAAAAGATGAGGTCGTGCGGCTACTTACCTGAGGCCAAGCTTCATCAAATAGGGTAATCATAATTGATAAAAAGGCTCTCTGCATCCTGAGTGTGTGCATTTTGAGGTTGGTAGGGTTTGAGCAACAATCTGTTGGCTTGCAAGGTAGTATTGAGATCAGAAACCTATCTAGATCAGAATTATCTAGATGAGAGAATCTAGGTTGCACAGAATAGCATAAGTATGTTTGGACTAAAATTGAGGTTTGGTTGGGCTTCAAACATGCTGACTAAATTAAGAATGATAGTCTAGTCTACCGTACATTTTATTTTATTAAAAGGTACTATGTGAAAGCCATAATTGATCAAATGTCATGAAGGACAGGAGAAGTTAATATTTGTGGATCCATTTTCTGCTGATTGGTCAACACTATTTTTTTCAGTGTACATTGGCTAAAAATGGGTTTATCAAGTTTTGGATGTTGTTATTATTTTCTTTAAATTCTTTTTACTTTATTTTGTTTAGAATTGAATGGCATATAAATCACTCAAGTAATAAGTAAATAAATACAATAAGATGATACTATTAGGAATGCAAAAATGTTCAATAAAATTCAAGTTAGGATTCGATCTTATAATTTTAGGGCATACATTTCCTTTCTAAATATTAAGAAACCTTAAAGAACATCAGCCTTTATATCATCCTTCGAAATATCTAATTACATGTTCAGAGAGAAGCCTTGCTGGCTATGCTGTGGCTTTTGAAATGATGTATTGCCAACATGTCCACTATGGCAGTGTTCAGGTATCTTTCTTCTGCTGGGACTGATCCATTTAGCCTTATCAAACTCCACCTTTTTAGATGAGCCATCTCCAGCCATAGACTTCTTAACATTATTTTTGAATTATTCTGGATGGCAATTCTGCATTTTGATAGATTTGAATAAAGTTTTGGAATTTTGATGAAAAGTAGTATGATATACTTTTATGTATTATTTGAAATCCTTCTTTGAAATTTCAATAGCGATCAGGAAAAGATGGAAAGAATATGTGCTTTCTTATTCTTCCCTTCTTCCATAATCACCTGAGCAATTGGTATATATTGCCAACAGAAGAAATGTAAATATAAAAGCTAGCATCAGATTTTATTATGTCATTTCAAAACATTTTGCAGATCTGATTTTTGTAACATATGTTGAAGGTCTTTCTAATCATAGCATATTTCATCAATTAGGTTAATAAAAGTAGGTGAAGAATGACGTATATGGAGTTGTCTGTTCAAGACACACAAAAGTGTTATATCCCATGTGGGATGTTTTGGAATCTGAACTCAATGAATCAGCTTGGAATTCTCAATACAACAAAATTTCCTCCAATCCTTCTTTTGGGAAGTTATCAGGAATTTATGAAAAAGGCATTTAATAGATGATATTTCACTCTTCTAAAATTACTAGAGCAGTCAAATGCTTCCTAGATTGTGCTGAAGGAGCTGGAGTCAGATCCCTACATATTAACATCCCTAGTGGTACTGCTCATTATTTATTTATTTGGGCAAAGAAATTTAGAAAATTACTTCACAACTGTTGGCAGTTAATACTACTTTCCATGTATTGCTTGTATGGTATGCAGCAAAATAAATTAATCCATTTTTCTCTGTTAGTATAAGAAAAAAAAGATTTGGCAAATCTCTGGGAAACTAAAATATATATTTTTAATTAGTTTGATATGATACATTTTAATTTTGCCTTATTTTAATTACATTGTTTTTATTCATACATTTTGTCATTTCTGTTTTATCTTGCTATAAGTCATCCTCAGTGTTCTGTGGAGAAATAAAGGGAACATAAATAAGATTATATCTATTTAAAGAGAGAGGGGGCATTAGAACAGTGCCTTAGAATCCCATCTGGGATTATTTTTATGAAAAAAAATGGGGAAAACATCTATACCAATGTATGAAATTTAAGAATCTAACTGTGTACTATTGAAAAATTAGCATAGAAATAAAGAATGTTAAAGAACTCTTCATCTAATTATTAACTGATTTACATTTCCTTTCTGTTTTTCAGCTATATTAACAAAAAGTTTCCTAATCATCTTTATTGTACAATAAGTTCAATATTTAATATTGGATTTTTTTTAAAAAAAATTGCATTTTTCTTTAAAATTGTAATCTATTTGTTTAAGCACACTTACTATATCTGGCTGTCCATCTACCAAAAGGAAGCCTTGAGATGTAAGTGGGGTATATATCAATATATGTACAAACACACATGTTTGTATCAGTATTATCAAAGAGTGGGGGTTACCCTCTTATTGTTTTAATCATTATTTCTTATTGATGTTTGTCTCTTGTATTGAAAAAAGATAAAGAAAAAAATAGCGTAGGATTCAGCCCCTAGGAATCATGATTAATCTTTTAGCTGGACCTACTTATAGGTCTTTCATGAAAGAAAATTTATCAAGGAAATGGTTTTTAAAACACAAGGATGTTTGGCCAAGAAGTTGGTAAAAGTATAAAGTAGATGCGGCAGAGTGTACTTTTAGGATTGATTTCCATTTAAGTCAGACTGACTGCAGTGTGGTCATTTTTCTAACCATCACTGTTCTTACTGCAGCAGTTTGCTATTTGCAGGGTGTCTGAATTATAGCAGTCCATGTCTCTGTTACCTTTTACACAAATTACTTAACACTGGTTTCTTTTCCCATGTAAATTTATCAGTTTTACAGCCCCTTGTCTCCATGTCAGGAAATTTTAGCAGACAGCACAAATTGATAAAATGAGTTAATTTTATAATGTCCCTTTTATTCTTAACTTCATTCACATGTTGTACAGGAAACATAGTGTAATTAGATGGTAAATAAATTTATTTTCCAAGTTAATTCCATCTAAAGATCAGAGTAGACTAATTCCCATTTTGATAACATTCTTTTTTTTTTCTGTGCTCTTAAAATGCATTGTATCAGTGCCCATGAATTCAATAGCATTCTGTGGTAGACATCAGGGAACAGTATAAGGATTGTATTCTTCTTCTTAGTGCAACCTGTTTTTGTATGCTTTAACCAGAACCTACAGTATCTATTACTTCATGTATTGTAATTTAGAGCAAGAACCATCCTTTGCATGTCCAAAGTCCCAATTTCATTGCATGGCATGGGTGGGAAGGACCTCAGATTGTGATAACCTGTTTTGTAGCCAAGGAGCACAGTGATAAAAATAGTTATGTCATAACCAGTTGAGTGTGTGTTGTAGTAATAAATATTGCTTGGGCAAAAAAAAGTGTGTGTGTGACAAGACACAGGCAGTCTGCAGATGGCCATCCCTACAGTGGAGAACCTAGGTCAGAGTAGACCAAACTGAATCAGAAGAGCTGTGTTTACCTTTGTGTTAGCTGTTGAGAAGCCTTTTGAGGTCAAAGGGAATACAATGTGGTACTACATTATATGGGCATGCTGTAGGAAATTCTTAAATGAGTTTTGTATTATCTGATTGTGATGTATATCTAAGTTTGAATTTTTGGGACGTTACTCTTTAGCACTCTCTCTTCCTAAGTAAAATCTTATTTTCTTCAAGTTCTCAAGAGGGTTTGAGCCTGTGATACTCTGCTGAGGCCATGCCAGTTTCATTTCTCATTTTCTTCCACCAGAATGAAAAGGGATTTTAATGCATATTATCTCTGCATTTCAGCTGTAAAAGCCATTGTTGCAGAAGCTCATCTTAATATAGTGGCTACTGTTATCTGGTTTTATCAATTGGTTTTATTCAATGATTTTCTTATTTGTCAAATGTTAAACTATTAATTATTCTTAGTATTGTTAGGTGCATAGTGCATCATTTTTCAGGTGCTGAATGACTAGGAGTAGATCTGGATCAAACTCCATAGTTCTTGCAGTAGAGTGGATACCTTCGCTTTTCCTATATCAGAATTCATTAGAGTGATAGCTGTGTTATTGGTTGTTGTAATTTGATGCATATTGCTATTTTTGTGAAGAATTGTTCATATATAATGTCAAAGGATGGTTTGACTATCTGTAGTGCACAATTTCCAGAATTGCTCCATTCATTAAAGGATGTAAGCTGTAAAACCTTAATTACAGCTGAAAGTATAACTTCATTTGCATCCATTGATGACGAATAGTATGTGATTTAATACCTCTAAATATATATTTCAAGTGATGAATATGAATTTGTGAATAAGCACTATTATGTGCCTATGATTGAATAACCAGTTTTGCGCAGTGTTTTTATTTGCAAAAGTTGAAACTCCATTGCAATATACCTATATACTAATTCTTGAAAAAAATACAGTTTCCTTATAAGAGGTAGGAGTAGGCTTTAGATTCTTATCAAAAACAGTGTTAACTGCATGCATATGTATCAGACAATGTAACGTTAACTGGAAAGAGCTCCAGTGACATCGTATGTGAATATCAAATCCATATTAGGCTTCTTTTACTTTGCAGAAGAAGGAGTTGGTAACATTTTTGTAAATATATAAATAAACAACTTAGTTGCATGCATGTAAAGTGAAAAGAAACTATAGCAACTTACAAATATAACCATTTCACAGAACAATAAATAGTTGGTTTTGCAAAGTTACCCAATGTATGTCATGAGGAAACTTTTTCAGAAGTAGCAATACTTATATAGTGTTAACAGAGGAGGAGGGTATTCAAATATATTAGTAAAAGTTAGACTTCCCTTTTAGAAAAAAATATTTTCGAAGAAAAGATTAAATGAAAAATGCTTAATGCTATAGTGCCAGCTATCTCATATCTTTCGATTTGTAAGCTGGTAAAGTCATCAAAGTGAAGGAGATAATTTTTCACATGACTTCCTGATTTTTTTTTCTCTTTTTTCCCCCAGCACCAATAGCTGCAGGAACAGGCCCTAATTTCTCTCTCTCAGATTTGGAAAGTTCCTCGTATTACAGTATGAGTCCAGGAGCAATGAGGAGATCTTTACCAAGCACCTCTTCTACCAGGTAATTTCTCTATAGTATATTTGTTGAGTTAAAAAGTTGTGACATGATAAGTGTTTGGGGCAATCAAATATGGATAGAAATTGAAAGCTACCTACAGATATATAGAGTCTTATCACAAAAGAAATCCCAGCAAAGGAAATAACTTTATTTCTACAGGGAACATCAGTGGAACAACCTGCCTCCAGAAGTTGTGAATGCTCCAACACTGGAAGTTTTTAAGAAGACACTTGGACAACCATTTTTCTGAAATGGTATAGGGTTTCCTGCCTGAGTAGGGATTGGACTAGAAGACCTCCAAGGTCTAATCCATGAATATTCTAATCTAATCCGTGAATTTGGGGGGCAATTGTTTCAAGTGGCAAGTTATGTACAATCGTCTTTAGAAAAATAAGTACCAGTAGCCATTCCTCTCAAACTCAACAACTGTGCCATTGCAGTTACTTTTAACCAGCAATCTATGCACTAACATCTTATGATATGTCCTTCTTTTTGCCTATTATAAAGAGACCAGGTCTCTCTCTCGGGCCAGCATATCTCACTAAAGTAAAAATAGGAAGAGAGTGCTATATACATTGCCTTAAACTCCTGAAAAAAAGGGCTGCATGTTAACCTAACAAAAGAATAGAGTATTTTTATTTGTTCTTTCAAGAGTTACATCATAATATAGGTACTCCTCGACTTATAACAATTCATTTATTAACTGTTTGAAGTTAAAACAGCACTGAAAAAAGTAACTTATACTGATCCTCACATTATAACCGTTGCAACATCTACATGCTCCCATGATCAAAATTCAGATGCTTGGCAACAGATTTGTTTTTAAATGGACCTTTTTTCTCATATAGAATTGACTTTTTGTGGAAACTTAATATTAAAAATTGGAAAAAAGATAGTGATGTGGAAAAATTAAATGGAAGCAAGGATATTGACTTTGGATCAAATGATAGATGATTATGAATTCCAAAAATACTCTACGTTAAGAGACTAAGATCATCTACCTTCTACCATATGTAACCTAATAGCCATATTTACAGTTACAACATTTGTTAACAACATTGGTTGGGCCAGCAGTGTTTTCAGTTCCTGAGACATCTGAGATATTGGAACAACTTGTTAAATCCTTTAAAAATATACACTACCAAATTAAGATATAAGAGGATTGCAGCAGGTTAAGGGAAATAGAGAAGTAACATCTTCATTTCTTATATGTTTAACTGAGATTTAAAAAAAAGAAAAAGACACCTTGGGAAAGGAAAGCTCATGGTCAGATCTTTGCCAGATCATTTACATAGCAAGAAACCATGCTTCCTATTTATATTTCTGTGCCATATGTATAAGACATATTTAAATTGCTAGGACTGTGATATTGCTGAAAAAAATCATGTAAGTTTGAACAACTGTTGTTTAAAAATCAGCTCAGAAATAAAGAAATAATAAAATTGCCATCTTAACTCCTTTTGCTGCATTTGGTTGCTTCACAACTAACATAAGAGTTCCTTTATATGTGTTTAGCAAAAGAAGAAAGTCTTATGGAAGTAACATGTAAAGTTGTCCTACAAATTGTTATGTGTAGAATTTTAAAATACAGTTAATCCTACAATACAGGTTGTCCTCAACTTACAACAGTTCATTTAGTGACAGTTCAAAGTTACAACATTACTGAAAAAGTGGCTTATGACTATTTTTCACACTTGTAACCATTGCAGCATCCCCATGGTCATGTGATCAAAATTCTCTCAGTTGGCAACTAAATCATATTTATGATGGTGGAAGTGTCAGAGGATCATGTGATCACCTTTTGCAACACTATGACAAGCAAAATCAATAGGAAAGCCAAATTCACTTAACAGCCATATTCCTAACTTAATAACTTGCAGTGATTCATTTAACAACTGTGGCAAAAAAACCTTTGTAAAATGGGGCAAAACTCACTTAACCAACATAAATTTTGGGCTCATCTGTGATCGTAAGTCAAGGACTACCTGTATAAGCCATCCCTAGCTATTAGTCTGTGATAACTCATTTATAATCAGGGCCTTTCTCCCAATCAAAATAATAATAATAATAATAATAATAATAACAATAACAACAACAACAACAACTTTATTGTCACTTTGAAAGTACACCAATCGGCATTCATCACAATGAAATTTCGTTGCATACAGCTCTCAAAGGGTTACCACTTCTGATATACACTCCTTGTTCATGGTCAGCTCAAGTTACAGATCTTCCATTTTAGTCTCTAGCGAGCAAATGATGGCAAATAGGACAGATGGAAATGGAGCTCCATGTGGATTATCCCTCAAATTAGCTTGTATTCCTGCACGACAACCTCGCCTCCTTTCCTTTTTCTGATCTTGTCTCTTCCACCTTTTCCTTAAAGAGGCCTCACTCCTTTTCGCCCCTGGAGAACGCTGCGGCCGCCACCAACTTCTCCAAAAGAAAAAAGAAAAAAACTTAATATTAATATGTATCGGTAAACAGTACATCCATTTTTAGGGTTTCGCTTTTTTATGAGAGTCCTGAGTACTGTGGATATAGTTCTCATTAATTAAACTTAGTTTCAGACTGTTTGCTTCCACTCCAAGATTGTTAAAATAGACATGTTATCAGTGATACTTAAGGCACAACTGTCATTCTTATCTGCTTCTACAAATACCTGATAGCAGATAAGAAGCTAAATAAAATAGCATCAGTAATGAATAGCTGCACAGTAGGTTTGCTGTTTCCTCATATTGCATTTGTAAGTCAAAAAAAGTCTTAAATTATTCATTTCTAAATGTATTTACTTGGAAGTAGGTTTATATTGATTTCAGTAAATTTACTTCAAAGTACATTTTAGGATTGTTGCCTAGCAAAATGATTGAGGCAATGATTGTATGGTAAGAACAATCTGTTGTTGACATTTGCATTTCCTCATAAACGTGGGCATCAGAAGATTTTTTTTTAGCATTCCTCAGTTATGGCAGGACTCTTGTTACAATTATTTTAAAAATAAATGACTAACCATTCATGAGATCAACTGAAATATAAGAGCAGCTGAGGTCATACAACTAAATATGCCCACTTATATTTATGCCAGCAATGCCATATCTGTGTACACCTACCTTTGTGTAAAACTGAAAGACTTATGAAAAAGGGAACACATTGAAGGAAGCATAGTTGTTCCTCTCCTTAAGTATTAGAAAGAGAAGAAACTATGCAGATAGCAAGCAAAGCATACATTTTTGTAGCTTACACTTCAAGAACAATACCAAAGATGAAATTATCTACATGTATAAGGAAATCCCCAAATCTATAAAAATAGAAAATAACAAGTACAATAAACCCTTGATGAAACAGTGTAATACAGAAGAAGGAGTATCTTTGAGATTCATATGTTCATCAAATGGTATATAGGCTGTTACACAGGTATAAATGGGATATTACAAGTCTAAAACAACATGTAAAATGGTGAGTGGTTTTAATCCACTGCATCTGAAGCATGCCACTGAGGTCCAATAACTTGAGGATGAGTGTAAGCAAAAATATTTTAAGGAAGCAAAAAAAGCAAAATTAGGATAATCCAGTGCTCAATGATCATGAATAGAAAAACTGAAAATGTGATTATCTGCTTAGCAACCAAAATTCTGGTCCCAATTGTGGCTGTAAGCCAAAGACTACCTGTACAGTATGAACAAATGTAACCAGGAGCAATATCTCCCAAATCTTATTTTTTTTGCTCTTGACATGCCAGAACTGGTACATGTACTATACCACATGGCTATAAAAATGATGCGAATTTGCTTCAAGGAATATAATAACCCAGAGGAATCTATTGTAAAAAACAAATCTACCTCATCCTGCACCTCTGAATTCTTTAAAAACAGAGGCACATATAATGCAGTGCGTTGTTTGGAATGATCCAACCAGTATCTAAGGATAGCTTCTTAAGAAATGGAAATAAGCCACACGGCAAGCTTTAAGACAATTTCATTTGCTATCTGGAAATGCAGTAAAGTGGGTTTCAGACAATTCTCCAAACATATGGAGACTCCCAACAGAAGAATCGCTCCTGAACCAATGACTGTTTCCCTGTACAGGAAAGAGAAATTCTAAATGCATAGATTGTTATATGCATATGTAGCATACAGTTCTTTGTTCTTTTCTCATATGATTTGTGGATGAACAGCAGGGGTGTGGCTACTTAGCCATTAGCAGTGATGGCCCCATGTAGCTGTGTATCTAACTCAGTCTTATTGTGTATCTAACTCAGTCTTAAAATGTACAATGTATATATCTGAATCCTCAACACCTATTACAGATATAACTGAAACCAGCACGCTTTACACATGGATCCCTCACATGAAAACACATCCTCTTTATTCTTGTCTTTTCTCCAGTAAAGGAGAATATTTGTAGCTCAGGGTTGACATGAGGGGTCCTTGGTGCTCTCTGAGCTTGCTTGTTTTCTTGCAGACGTTTCATTACCCAAACTAGTGATGATGTTGTCTAGTTTAGCTAATGAAACGTCTGCAAGAAAGCAAGCAAGCTCAGAAAGCACCAAGGACCCCTCTCCTTTCTCTTTTCAAAAATGGGTTTCTGTTTGCCCAAACTAAAAGAGAAGTGCAATTCCATCTGTGTTGTTGTTTTTTTCAGAGAAACTGCCTGCCTATAACCATCATAACTCAATTTTCTTCAAGAAAATGTTCATGGAAAACCTTATTTTCCACTGTAGGGCATGATGTCAGGGTGGTTAAAAGAGCCAGAAGGTTAACAGAGAAAAGAAGGTGCAATAGTTATATCACCTATAGACATGATAGCAGTATTCCAATATCTCAGGGGCTGCCATAAAGAAGAGGGAATTAAGCTATTCTCCAAGGCGCCTGAAGGCAGGACAAGAAGCAACAGGTGGAAACTAATCAAGGAGAGAAGCAACCTAGAACTAAGGAGAAACTTCCTGACAGTTAGAACGATTAACCAGTGGAACAGCCTGCCTCCAGAAGCAGTAAATGCTCCAACACTGGAAGTTTTTAAGAAGAGACTGGATAGCCACTTGTCCGAAATGGTGTAGGGTTTCCTGCCTGAGCAGGGGGTTGGACTAGATGATCTCCAAGGTCCCTTCCAACTTTCCTACTATTATTATTATTATTAAGAACTTGCCATTTGTCTTGGAATGTAACCCTGCAAGATAATCCAATATTTTATTTATCTCCCTTCAGGCTGTGTATTAATGCATATATGCTTCAATTCTAGTTCCACAAAGCGTCTCAAATCTGTAGAGGATGAAATGGACAGTCCTGGTGAAGAACCATTCTACACAAGCCAAGGGCGGTCTCCAGGAAGTGGAAGTCAATCAAGTGGATGGCATGAAGTGGAGCCAGGTAAATAAAGTGAGGCATGTGGCTTTGGAGGAAGGGGGAGTTTTTAGCATTCCTGAATTCCATTTACTTATTCTGATGAGAACTAGTATTAATGTGTGAACTGGTATTTGAAAGGCTATGGGAGTTGAATACATCTGCAGCTGTAAATCCTTTGTTAATATCCATTTTGTTCTTTAGGCAGGCATTTGTAGTGTTGAATAATGGTTTCCATGGTTGTCAAGGTTTTCTTAGCCCAAAATATTACTTTCAATTAGATTGGCTTGCCCCCAAAAGGAATGTATGCTGCAACTGTATTTTATTGTAAAACGACAGATGCTTGATTCTTAAAAAAAAGAAAAGAAAAAGAAAACCTTTCAAATTGTTCACTTAAACTGATTTTATTCTGCAATGGCATTGTAGGAAAAGAGGTATTTTTATTAATTTCAAAGTTGGTACTGTGGCTTTATTAGGTAATTTTCAAGTCTATTTCGATTTAATGTTTGTATAAGTTGCTATATGTTTATTTATTTGAAAGATCGCCATCCAACGAGCAATTCTGGATGGCTTACAACAACTGTAAAACCAATAAATAAAACAATAATTTAAAACAATAAAAAGATAAACAGAACATTCTTTTTTTCCCCCTTGGGATGTCCCTCAGACATTCTGCTTCCATGTCTTCCAACCATACAATCCCAGCCCATAAGTTAAAAGCTAGGTCTCAACAGCCTTCCAAAAGGCTACAAGGGTGGGAATTCTCAAATTGCCAGCAGGAGATGGTTCCATAAGGTAGGGGCAGCAACAGAAAAGGCACACTTCCAAGATTCTGCTAGATGGCAAGATTTCAAGGAGAGGATTTGGAGCATGCCCATCCTGGTGTAGTAAAACGGGCTGATATTAGTGAAAGCGGGTCCTATAAGTAACAAGGTCCCATGCCATGTAGGGCTTTAAAGATGAGCATCACCTTGCACCCGGGAAAAAAACTGGAAGCCATGCAGTCAATAAACAATACACACACACTCACATACAGATGTAGATATACAACTTATTTTAGGTGTATTTCCTTGCAACGTAACACTAAAGATTTCTAGTACGCTTCCAGGCTGTTTCGGGTTCCTTGGAGTGCAGCTTATCTTCCATACTTTCAGTATAGGAAACCCTTGCAGAAAGATTATAATGTCATGCTGATTTAATGATTTCTTCCCATAAATCCTATAAAGTCTGGGCTTTCTTTTGACATTGGGATGGTTGAGGGAGAACAAGGTAAATTTAATTCAGATAAAATGGAAGATGTTTTTTTAAATGAGAATTGTGTTATTCTAAGTGATCGTGTGAAACCAGATCAGTTATCTCCTCCCTGAAAGACAAGGCATCAGCTTGGGATGCTTCTGTTGGAAGTTTATCGCTATCTGGAGAAGAACTCATAAGATCAGTAACAATTGAACCTGGTCTTATCTGTCTATGAGTTCATTGCTTCCAAGAAAAACTATTTTGGAATCCTCTATATGGGCCAGCTTCATATCTGCCACAGTTATATGACTGGAAAGCACGAGAGACAAAGGATGTATCTATGGTGGCCAATATTTTTGATGGTCAGTATTCCTCAGATAATTACATTATATATCCCTTTAGAATACTGGCTTTAAGCTGGTCTTGTGAAGTCCTCTGCAACTCCGACTTTACATAACAGTATAAATAGCTTATATGTTTTCTAACTGCACATCTTTCTGATGTATTTTTCAGTCTCTGTATCCTTTCTTTTGATTCTATTCACCAGAGTCACCAGAGTAGCTTTAAGGTATTTTGAAAGGATTTATTAATAAACAAGCAATAACTTTCAACTGCTGAAGGACATATTAATATCACTGCTTGATATGATATAAGTGGTATGGAAAAATAGAACCTTCAGTTTTAGTATGAAAATTCTATTCCTTGCCTGCTGCATGTTTTATCGCATGCAATAGTGAAAGGCAGACACTGATTTTGGATTTCTGTTTCTGCTCTAACCAAGAAATAGTGAATCAGTGCAACTGGACCATATTACCTGATAATCATAAATGCAATCCAACTATATGGCATTCCCAAATCAGAAGAAATAGATAACTTAGAATTTTCTCCAAGAGAAATTTTCTCTAACAGAATTTTCTAACAGAAAAAAAGTAAAAAGATTAGAAGTGAACAGGTAGAGATCACTTAACGACCTTTCATTCAGCAACCATTTGAAGTTATGATGGCACAGAACAAAAGGCAGTTGTGGCCCAGTCAACAAACTTACAACTTATGTGGGAGAAGCAGTGAAATTCTCACCTAATGACTGCAATTGGGATTACCAGATCTGCCATTGCTAAGCAGTGCGTTCACGTGATGCTGATGGCGGCTTTATTTGATGATGGAAATTATAGCCCCAATTAGGGTTGTTAAGTGAAGAGAGTAGTTCACTTTAGGGAAGAGTGCTGATAAATTTCTGGAGGGCCTGGAAAATGAGAGAAGCAATAAACCTTAATGTTTATTATGTGCTGCAAGATGAAAAAGAAAAACTCTGTGAAATTATTAGACCTCAGGAAGCAAAACAAACTGGCACGTATTCAAAAAAAGTTGAGTAAAAAATGAAGGAACAAAAGACTTAAGACAGTAATGGCAAACCTTTTAGAGATCGAGTGCCCAAACTGCACTCCAAAACCCACTTATTTATCGCAAAGTGTCAGGGCTTTGTGGTGCCCTTGGGGGGAATGGCCCACTGGGTGGGTGTGGTGCAGTGGTCATGGCATACTGGGTGAGAGTAGCCAGGGCCAGTCCCTCACCATCTCCGGGGCATCCCTGGGGGGCCAACGCCGCTTGCTCACTCACTTCCTGCCCTGTCACTTCCAAATGCCACGTGCTCGCTATTCTGGCAAACTCTGCTGGGGCAGCGGCACGCGTGCCCACAGAGAGGGCTCTGAGTGTCATAGGTTCGCCACCACTGGGCTAAGAGGAATAGACAGGATGAGTTGTAGGAAAGAATTAAAATCCAGAACCTTTGCTTTGGTTTTCATCATGGCCAAAATAATATCATATATTTATACCTTTTTTCTGTCTTTTTTTTCTTCGCTAGTTGTTTTACCATAGTGATACTGACATCAGATAAGTTGTGCCACTTTAAAAAAAAACAAAAACAAAGTCATGTTTTCATTCATTTCTAAAAAATGGGAGAAAGACTGTTTTAAGCCTTTTAAGTTAATAACCTTTGGTGTTGTTAAATTTTATCTGTACTGCATGATTGATTGCACATAATAAGGTAGCAATTCACACATACGAATAGTGTGAGAACTGTGGGTTTAAATTAATGCTTTATTGTTGCAAGTGTTGGAATAAACTCTGAAAAGATTATTCCATACAGAATATGGACAAGTTTAAGGATATCCACACAAGATATGTCTTGGGAATGTTGTTCCTTTTTTTAGTTCCAAGCAGACAGTATATTAAACACTGTCCGAAACTCTGTTGTAGCTCTAAATTTATTCAGTCTTATAATACACTGTCTTAATTCTTACACTGAGCAGGGGGTAGGACTAGATGAGCTCCACTCCTTTCTGACTTTCAAATTCTGTGTTCCTGTGATTTGTGGCTCAGTCAAGCAAAACACTGCATTAAATCTTCGCTCCTAATATTGTACTCATGGAGACTCACATCCATTTACCTGCACTCCAGTGTGCTTGGGGAGTTCTCAGGCCTGGAATGGCTGGAGTCTGCCAGAAAAGATGAATTTCTTTCACACAGGAAGACTCTGCAAAGTAAAACAAAGCAGACACGAAGTAAATTATTTCTGCTTTTCAAATATCTCTTGTGGTATCCGCTTTACTGTTACTTTATCTCAGCACTTCCATCACGTAAATTTTTGCTAACAGAGAAGGAAGGCAAGAGGAGATAATGAAGGTACTTGGTTAGAAAGTCAATGCAGCTTCAGTCTTGGATTTGCACTGTACCACAATTCTATAGGTGGCTTTCTTTTAAAAATTAGTATAATCAGTTATACAGATTATATAGCTGTGAATGCACCTAAAAAGCTCTTGGCTTCAAAATTCATTTTATTTTGTTCTGCCACAGTCAAATGCACTCTGTGAAGCTGAATAATATAAAAAGTTGCCTTTTACCTCCCCCCCCCCCAAATTGCATTCTTTAACCCACTAAAGATGCTGTGCCCTTCCTTCATAATTAATGTGGCCATTTTTAAAATTGACAGTTGTCTGGCCTATCATCCAAACTTTAATAAACATTACAAGCAGATATTTAATTTTAAAATGAAAAGTGTCCTCTCACCCCTTTTAGTGAACATGAATATTTTTTGTGTGCCTAAAATAGTTTAGGTACAGTACTACAGTATTTTTTTAAAATGTGACTATTGCCCCTCAAAAACAAGCTTAATTATTTGATAATTTTGCAGAAGATCCAATCTAATTGGCTTGTCTGGTTGCCTGTTTTTCAGTCATTTTTGGAATTGGGAGTTATAGGCAAGTGGCCAATGACGAACCATAAAGCAGGTGATTACTGTACTATTGTCTGACATTAAAACACAGGTTCAAAAGCCAGAATTAGTTTTATCATGTTGCAGAGCATGGTTCATATTTTTTTTTCTCATTGCAATTTGTAACAAATGCCCAAGGTAGTATAAAGCTTTGGTCTTGTATATTGGATGAGTGTAAGAGACTGCCATGTGAATTTTGAATAAATCCTAGGAGATTCCTAAGTCTGTTGAAACAATGTCCTGAAATAACTTTGGTGCTAATCTTATATGTATTTTATAAAATTCTGGGAACCTTAGGGGTCCTTCTGCTTTCTTTATTACTATTTCTTGAAAAATAGGAATCTTCTGCTTATAGGTTTCTGTTATAAGGTTTCTGAAAACTTAATCTCTATACACAAGTGCAAGTTCCATACACCCTGTATGGAAAAGATATGCAGGAAGCAATAAGAAATCAGATAAGTAACTGCCAGTCCTTGTAAAGAATGAGGCATGGTTAACTCAGAGTAGAACAGAAAGCAAAACAGAAGCAATTCTTAAGGTAACTGGGGAGGAATTCTCTTATTTCCCAATTGAAATACCTTAACAGAAAACAACTGCAGAAATTGGGTGTTATCACATGGCCTATTTTGGCATATTGGAATAACTAGGTTTTACTTTTAATATGACTAATGCACTTCTTTAGCTAATTTTATGGTTATGGGATTGAATTCCAGGATTCCATCATGAAAATCATATTCTTAAGTGCTACAGCAGTGCTAAGAATGTCTCAACTCCTACAATATGTTATCCTTAAAAGTGAGGAAGAGATCACTTGAATTTAAAGCCTAGATTTAAAATATGTATACTGAAATACAATAGCCTCTTTATATAGTTTGGTCTAGTGCAGTGGTTCTCAACCTTTTTATATTAAGCAGGCGGCGCACATGCGTGGCGCCGCCCCCTGCGTGGCACGCTGGCGCGGTGGCGCCCCCTGCGTGGTGCGCATGCACAGCACGCACGCGCGGCGGCACCCCCCATGTGCTGCCCCTGCGCGGCGCGCTTGCGTGGCGGCGCCCCCTGTGCAGCGTGCATGCGTGGCCCCGCCCCATGCGCCGCCCCAGAAAAAAATGGCGGGTCGCGTTGTTTGGCGACCCCCGTGAAATGGTCGTTCGACCCCAAATGGGGTTGTGACCCACAGGTTGAGAACCGCTGGTGTAGTGGTTAAGGCATGAAACTGGAAGACTTGAGTTCTAGCCTGCCTTAGCTATGAAAGCCAGCTTGGTGACCTTAGTCTAGTCACTCTCAGTCAGCCCAATTCACCTCACAGGTTGTTGTGGGAAAATAGGAAGAGAAAATGTGTTTGGTATGTTCGCTACCTTGAGATGTTCATAACAAATAATAAAGGTGGAATATAAATAAACAAATAAACAAGTAAGTTATAACTTTTACAATTCCCAATCACGTTTCTTTCAAAATCAATTCTTTTTCCACTGCTATGTGCTTTTTAAATTTCCCTCAGCAATTAAAATAATAATAATAAAAGCTATATAGCTTAGTTTCCTTTGCATAAAAGCACACTGAAGAATTAATGGATTCAGTACAATATGTGCTTTATTTGTAAGTATTTTGTTATATGTTGGGTATTTGTTTGCCTCCCCTTGTAAGCAGAACACAAGGGGAGAGCAAACAAATACTCAACAGTCAATCCAGCTGTTATTTGTGTTGCTAAAACTGCATCAACAATTCCAGCTATTGCCATCTCATACCTTGTAACTGTCTGTTCACTTCTCTTTTCTGGTACATCTATAGTCTTTCTTTTCTTTTTTCTGTCATGGGGTATATTCTATAAGATAAACATCTTATAGAGCCTGCACCCAAACCTTCATCTTGTAGATGATTTATCTGTGCCTAGCTGGGGAATTCCAGGAATTCAAATCCACTTATCTTAAAGTTTCTGAAGTTGACACTGGTTTAAAAGACCATTTACCATAGTAATAGGAAACTTCTGTGGAATAATTGAATTTCAGAGGTTCTTCAGTCTAGTTCACACAAACTCTGCATTAAATAGCAGGATCCAATATGGGTCGGTCACTGGAATCAAAGGTTTAGTTTTCCAGGCTTTCAGACATGTGCTGCAACCCATCTTTAGGGAATTTCTGACTATGCTTTGGGCTATTCTGTGTGTGGTATTTATATGGTGCTGTGTGTGGCTTTTTAGATGTTGATTGGGTGTTGATGACTGGCTATTAAGTCATTGGCTGTTGTTTCCTTTTGCTGCAAGCCCTCGACTCCTAAGTACTTGATAAACTGGTGATAAATCAATACTTCTGTTGACTTGAGGGGCCTGTTTCCCAGGCTTCAATCACTTCCCTGGCTGTTTTTGTGCCTGCTTATCCAACAATCTTAGTAGCTGCAAAATTCAATGCATTGATTGAATATATTCAATTTTTCAGCTACTAAGATTGTTGGATGAACAAGGCTTTACAGAGAAAGATTCAAATTCAAAATAAGGAGGAATTTCCTGGCTGTGACAGCTATTATACAGTAAAACAGCCTGTCCCCCTGGAGTCATAATTAAAGGTTCTCAAGCAAAGATTTGTCAGCTTTTTGTCTAGGGTGATAATGATAATTCGTTCCCTGGACAAGGAACCTAGACCAGAAGTTCCTTCTAACCTTCAATGATATGAAATACTTTCTCCCACTTCACTTATTTCTGAACTGCTAGGCACCCTTACCAGTAAAACACTGGGCCAGCCATCAGTTTTATTTTCAGATACCTACCAGGCATTTGTGATATCCAAATATATTTGTGAAACATGTTGTGTTGTATTGTAGCTTTTATTTAATAAAAATAATGTTTTTAAAATATACAGTAGATGAACAAGGAATCATCCAATTACCAAAAAAGAGCATTGCTACCTATAGGCATCAAGTCACATATGTAAAACAATCATTTACTATATATTCCTGATTAAAGAAACACAGCCAATCCTGTAATAGTTTTTTTTTTTTTTTGATGTTCTGTTGGTAACCACTAGAAGCAATTGCCATCCACTTTCAGGCATACGATATTTCACTGAGACTAATGAATCATCGTAACTGCCTTTTGTATACTTTCAGAGTTTATACAACCTCACTTCAGTTATGCCCATCTGGCTATAGCCAACAAAAATCTATTAATGAATATGAAACTACAATAAATGCAGCAGGTCAATAGTAGGACTTGGAGACAAGTAGGAGCTTTCCATTGCAGCCATTAAGTGAAATAATTAAATACCCTTCATTTGTTCTTATAGACCTAGATACGATGACAGAAACTTAGCATTGGATCAATATGTCTCTCTTTCTTTGCAATTTATGGAGCAGCCAGTGACCATTATCTGTGACAATCATCTGTTTCATTGACATCATTGCATTAAAACTATAGAAGTTGTAGATGAAAGGACTGTCAGAAAAATTGCATCTTTTTTCTCTTAGGCAATGCAGTATATCTTCTTGGGCTTTTTTCTAAATATGAGTCCCTTTCCAATATTCCCTCACTATGTGGAACTTGTTTTAGCTTGGTCTTTAATATACCTGTGGAAGTCACAAGGTTTAGAAACCATATAGTGGCCTCTTTCTATAGTTATAGAATAACAATAAAAGGAAAAATTCTGAATTTACTTTTAAGGTTCCACCTATAAAGGGAAGACTAATTACAGGTAGTCCTTGACTTACAACAGTTTGTTTAGTGATTGTTTGAAGTTACAAGGGCATTTTAAAAAGTGGCATCTGTTCTGTTCCAGCCTACGTGAGTCCTTGTTAAGCTCACAAGGAGAAACCCCTCTTCCAACAAGCAGGCTGGAACCTCAGGGAAAAAAAAAAACTAATCCCCTTTTATTATTCACAGACCTGAGTCAATGTCCAAGGCAAACAAACACAGTTCACAGAAACTTGATCCTCAACACGAACGGTTACCTTCGGCAACCAGCACCTCCCACACCTTCCCTTTTATTATGCAGCCAAGGCATGGCTTAAAATATCCCTTCTCCTTTGCCTTTGGAGCCGCCCCATTGCATTCCTCTGTCCTACTCTCTTTTCTTTTCTTGTATCCTGGATATCTCCCACCTGTGATTCATCACTGTCTAACTCAGACTCCCAGCACAGCTGTGTCTCAGCCTGAGCACGAGTAGAGGGGCCAGGTTCCTCGTCAGACTGTAAGTCTTGGAGCTCCTCAGAGCCTTCCTCTGACCCTGATGTAACTCCAGGACCCTCCTCCGCATCTGATTCCTCAGACTCAGCTGCCAGATCCACTGGCTGGCGAGCAATCACAACAGCATCTGACTGTTTTTCACACTTACGATTGTTGTTGCAACATCCCCTTGGTCATGTGGTCAAAATTCAGATACTTAGCAACTGACTGATAGTTACGACAGTTGCAGTGTCCCGGGGTCATGTGATCTCCTTTTGCCACCTTCTGACAAGCAAAGTCAATGGGAAAGCAGGTTCACTTAACAACTGCAGTGATTCACTTAACCACTGTGAGAAGACAGGTTGTAAAATACGGCAAAACTCACTTAACAACTGTCTCTGAACAGCAAACATTTTGGGCTTAATTCTCAGAAAGAAACACACTTGGAGGGGGAGATAACATTTCAATCTCGGTACCCCCAGAATGAAAGTTAGGATTGTGAAACCTGGTTTTAGCCAGAATAATATGCATTAAATATGAGGGTATTTAAATCCTTGTCTTGGGAAAGTAACACGCTTGTTAGAACAGATTTTATCCCAGCCTTCTTCTGTTGTTATTCATGCATCCTCTGTAATCTTTGAAAGATTACAGAGAAAAATAAATTGGGAGAAAGCAGGAAAACACACTACAGCAGTATCTCTATTTCCCCTTCTTTCTCTCTTCCTCCAACTATTACATCCCCATAGATTATTTCAGGTTTTTTTTACAGCTGAGAAATTTACTGAAGTTATGTTCAAACTATAAATGAGCTTAGCAATTGTAATGGAATGGGCAAATCTGTAAGTTGCAGCACCCTGTAAGTTTCCAGTCTTCTCTTCTAGAAAATCTTTGGGCCTTTACTCCCAAACCCTGCTTCTTGCTTTGAAGTAGCAGTTTGATAGTTTTTGCTGAAATTACCTACCTGTACCTTCTAGAAGCACCTCACCTGCTGTCCCTGTCCCCCTCTCCCTTTCTGATGCATAAGAGAAATAAGGTCTTCTCCAGCAGCACTCTCTTCCTAGCGGACGAAAGGGAAGATTGCAAAAAGAAATGATTTGAAGAAGCAAGAGCCAGACTAGAAAGCAGAAGACTGTGAATTCAAGTACTGCCTTAGCAGTGAAAGCTGATCTGGGACCAGTCACTCTCTCAGCCCAACTCACCTCCCAGGGTTTGTTACTTATTTACACACACACACACACACACACACACACACACACACACATTCTGGGAATTGAAGTCCACATATCATAAAGGAGCCATAGTTGCCTATCCCTGATCTAGAATGTTCTAGTTTTAGATATTCCTAGTTATTAATCTGAGGCTATGGAGAACTCTGTTAAACCCCATTCTTTTACCAACACGATCCCACAACTTCTGTCCTTTAAAAAAAAAACCTAAAACTTTTTCCTATTCCAGCCGATCAGAGCTGAGGGCAATTTAATCCTGAATTTCAGGGGTGTCAAACTGCCAGCCAACAGGCCGGATGCATCATAGCAAAACCACACCCACCCCATTGTGGGCGATGGGAAAAAAAAGTCACGATACGTCACGACGCGTCAGTTGACGTTGCAAGTTTGATACCCCTACTGTATTCTGTGGCCACAGTAGTGACAAATCACACCTCCTTTTTATGAAAGGTGGATTACATGCCTGAATCTATGGCAATGAATATTATGTGCCTGCTTTTGCAGTGGCCATAACAGTAATAATGTACAGCCTGAAATACAATGTTCTCATTTAAACATGCAAACAGATTAAAGTACTTCATATCCATAAAAAGAAATAAAGAAAAGTGTCTTCAAATCAACTTTGATTAAAATATCTGAATATTTTCTGAACACTTCTCAAAGGTGATGCCATGTATATAATATTAGATGTCAAAATATATATAAGAAAATCATTCGTTCTCCTAGCTAGATTTGACCCCTGCCCCCAAAGTCTACCTATATGACTTTCGATGAGCCAAGCAACATACATACATACATACATACATACATACATACATACACATTGCAGGATTTCTTACTTGGTTTTTTGTTTGGGGGGGGGATTGCCTGTTTCAAATGTAATTTTTAAAGAATTTGTTTTTCCTTTCTTTCAAATTTTGTTCTAGGACACATTCTGTTCTTTTGCTATTATTTATCTCTCTTGAACACATTGAATTCTGTAATCATATTTTGCTTTGCAAAACTCTTTATCTTGTGTCTTTCAAAAGACAACTTAACTTGCAAGGATCGGCGTGGACTGAAACCATGCTAGGTCTGCAGCCAGCTCAAATTTAGGCTGTGAAAGCATCAAGAAAGTTATGGGTGCTGGCTAAAGCCTCTTCTACGTTAAGTGCAGATTTAACAAAAGAACGGTGACCTCTGCTTTTTGCGGTCCTGATGTGTCAATGGCTGCTGCCTTTGCTGCTCCCACGTTGGAACACTGCATTGCAGATACTATTTGAAAAGTTCATGACCGAAGCATAATTGAAGTACCTCCTTAATTTTGGTTAGTAAGTTCCTGATAAATATTGCATCCACAGTCTGAAATAGTTTCCTGCTTGTCCTTCACAACATCTCAAGGTGCTAAATTTGGTTTCCAAACAATCATTGTTTTTATCAGGTTTCTTGTGGAGACAATTGGTTATTTATGCCATCATATTTTTAATTTGGAGTCTGCTAAACAAGATTAGCTCTTGATTGACAATGAACGGAGATGGTCTGAATTCCGTAGATCCTATATGGTCATTATAAATCTGATATAATAGCATTCTCATTTATCCAAAGGTATATTTTATTCCAACATTATTTTCCTTCTATGCTTTGCTGAAAGATTTTTTTCAGCCCATTTCAATACACACCTGATGATAGCTAGTAAATCACAAAAGCTAAATAACAGCATTCTTCATTAAAATAAATTTTGAACACTAAGAAATCCAAACCATAGATTTTGTTCAGAGCTCTACCTAGTATATAAATGATGAATAAATCAAAGATAATTTCTCTTGTCTGTGTTCTACCTGCATAAAAAAAAAGTTCTGAAGTTAATCAGGTCTCCTTCAAAACCATCTCCAACTTCTATTTTCCATCAAAGAGAAGTTTATCTCAATTAACTGATAAAGTATCTCTTTTTGAATTTGTGCCATTTTGTGATCGTTCTGCCTGTGTTTGGAAACATAGCTTGCTGACTGACGAGCATGGATGCAAATAGGCCGAATTCCTGTTTACAGTCCCTTAACTTTTAATAGTTCTGTAATAGCAAAACGCTCTGTTGAAATAATTCTTTTCCACACAGTATCCATTTTGTTGAACTTTTTTGAAGGTGGAATGTGAGGGTGTTGCAAGATAATGGCAAAATGCATTTGTGGTACTTTAAAGAAAGAGCACAAACTATGTGGAATGTGTTGTTCTCACTGTAAGATAAGCTAGAATTGTTAATCAAATATTTTCATGATATGAAGGCAGTTAAGAAAACAGTAAAAAATTTTACTAATTGCTTTCTTAGGTAAACAGATCTATCATTAGGTTGTCAGGAAGAGTGACACTGAGCAGAAACACCCTGCTAATCCCCAAAGATAAGTATTTAACATAATTAGGCAGACAGTGTCTCCTTTGTTGTACCGGCATTAATCAGGAGGAAAAGCTCAATTTTACAGAAAAGAGTTTCTCTCAATATTCCTTTGTGCTATTTCACTACTTTTGTGGAGATAACATACTCAAAGTAATGACAGTCATAGTTTGGATGATAAAGTTTCTTGCTATTTGATATATGCAACATGAATCCTTATTTTCCATATTCTTGCTTTTCTCATGTGGTTGGGGGAGATTCTGATAACTTTTTAAAAATAATTTGGTTATCTTAGGAGACTCATAGCTGAATGTAGTGTGTGTGTGTGTGTGTGTGTGTGTGTGTGTGTGTATGTAGGTCTTTGGTTATTCGGGTTTTCTCCTGCGTAAAATTGGAAGTGTATTGGCGACGTTTCGACGAAGTCCCATTCGTCATCTTCAGGCTGGTGTTTTCGGCGTCGTGCTTCTAGGAGCACAAAGCCGAAAACACCAGCCTGAAGGTGACAAATGGGACTTCGTCGAAACGTCGCCAAGACACTTCCAATTTTACGCGGGAGAAAACCCGAACAACCAAAGACTTACATACAAATACCCGCGAAAACCTCAGAAAACATATTGGGCCATAGATTCAATTTCAGTGAAGTTAGCGTGCTGGCAAGTGACAATACCAAGGGAGGCCGCCTACTTAGGGAGGCGTGGCTCTCTAATAACAGCTCTATTAATCGGCACGTTGACCTGTGTCCAGCATATATGGCGTTAAGATCGTGGAGTGCGACCAACCAGCTGCCCCATTACCGATGACCTAATAACAATCCTGATAATATCAAGGGGAATATGCCAACCCCCCAACTGGCTCGGTGTAAGCCAGATGAGGAAGAGCAATTATGGAGCATTCCTACCACTCTTACAACACCAGCACAGATCCAAAGGAACAGCAGAATGAATCTGGCAGCCTGCCTGCGCCTGGAAAGAAGCGAGGCAACCGATCTGGAGAGGAGGAGACGACCCCTCCACTCAGCTGAGACGGCTGAATTGGGATGGGAAAATGAGCAAGAGGGTGGCATTTACGAGACCGAACTGTTGCGCCTTCTACCCATAGACTCCAAAGACCCCCACGATGCGCACATGGGCACGAACGATGTTAGAAGGGAGAGGAGAGCGAAAGAGAAGCACGGCGGCACTCGAGAAGATCGTAATTCTACTACCTCCCCCAGACCGAGCCTCCGAATTATAACGCATGTGAAAGGAACACAGGAGGCTCAGGAAAGGGGGAGGAGGAGTAAGACGACTGAATGTAATTACAGTCAGGGGACCGCCCCCCCAGTAGACAAACAACCCATCAACCTATCCCAGATCACCAGCATATCGCAACCAACTCAGAGCGACTTACAGGATTGTCAGATGACAGTTGGATGGGAGGAGAAAGTACTAAAGTTAAAAGAGAAGGCTATCGCAAAAAGAACAGCCAAGCGGAGGATGATTGGGAAAGGAAGGGGAGGTGTACATTACCACTCAAACCTGATGGGGAGGATGGGTTGAGGAACAGAGATAATTTGAATGGTAGGGGAGTTATCCCACCCATCCCAGAATCGAAAGAAAGGAGGAGAGACGACAACACACACGTAACTAAGAGGAATAGGAGGAAGCAAACCAATCAAGCGCAGTTGAATCAATTAGGCCCGGTGACGAGATCGAGGAGCCGGGCGCAGACTCTGACTTGCCTATAAAAAAAACTCTCACACTTTCTGGCGCTCTAGCCCTGATGATGCCGGCAGGGACGGCGAAAGCTTGGCGCTTTTTAATTAAACTTTTATAGTTTTACTACCTTGGTGTTCATTTTATTTATTGATATATATATATATATATATATATATATATATATATATATATATATATATATATATATAATTCTGCTTAGTAGTTCACTTTCTTTTTTAAAACAATTGCGAGGGGAACCCAAATTAAAGTTCAGCTACAGAGAAAGAGAGGATTAACTTTTTTCTGTACACTTTTATTTGTTTGTTTGCTTAAGGCTGCCTATCTTACCATAAGGTAACTCTGGGCAGCTTACAGTCATAAAAATATATTTAAATTAAAACAAAAATAAATTAAAATCAAAGATTAAAATCTAAGGACATATGGGAAGGGCAGGGGTGGAATATATAATACCTCTAATGAGAGATACCTGTCTTGACTTTTTAAAATTACACTAATTGTGGCCACACAATTATTCTCAAAGAAGAGAGGCTGTTTTGACTAGTTTCATTTTCCTCAGAACTCCTTAAAAAGTGTCTTAAGACAGAAGTTAGCCTGTCCTTTCCAGAATGCAGGAGCATTTTTAAATGAAGAAATTTCATAAGCACTAAATTTAAAACCTGGACAAGTAGATTTAGGAATGGCACTTTCTTCATTTGAAAATGATGTTAGAAGGTTTTTTTTCTTCTTAATGTCCTATTCCTCAGCAAGGATCCCATCAGCAAAGAAAATATGGAAGTAAAACACAAGATCAAAAAGCATAATTAATTAATGTTTGACATTTCTCTGCTTTCTCAAAGGCTTTGCAAATTAAAAGATCAGTGGACCTCATAAAGTAACAGGTATATGTGAGGTTGGTTTATTTGTTGGACAGACTGGAGAATAGAGGTGAAAAATCAAATGCCCCCCTATACAGTAGTAAGGTTTTCAGTGCAGATGCTAAACTAATCTAAGCTTTGCTTTTAGCTGACAGAACTTTTTCTGAGATTCTTTACACTTCAGTCAATTTTAAGAAGGCTCATTGAATTCTTGCTCTCCTCTACAAAGCATTTTGATAACCTTCCAAATTTTGCTTTAAAGTCATCGTAGTTTACATTTGCACTTTTAAGCTTTTGTAAAGGCAGCAAAAGCATACATGTAGCAGAACCTGGATCAGTTGTTAGAATTTACATAGTTTTTTTTTTGTTTGTTTCTTTTTCTTTTTTTACACCATGACAATTTATTGAACTTTTTAGTTTCATATTTAAATGATTTTGTGAATTGGCCAGAGTCAATGACTGAGGAGGTATGCAAGCATGGTGATATATAAATAGGGGTAGAAATACCACCATTAATTTGGAACAATATTTATCTCTTTGCCTACTTCCCCCCTATAAACTTTCAGGACACCTTGTAGAAACATCTCAGGTTGATTTCTACAGGAGATCAAGCAGGAGTATCATTTAGCAGTATAAATATCTGGGAGATAAGAATGGTTCATCAATGAATATCTATGGCTGGAGGCGTAGAAAACATTATGATAGTAGGCCAGTAAATCCAGCTAAAATTTATCAGGTTAGGTGAGGCGTGTTAAGCACCTAAGTAGAATTGAAAGTAGAATTGAGAGTTAGTTTGTTTAGCAAATTTATATGGCCACCCATC